TCTGGTGTTTTACACCACAGTCACTGCATGATATGGTAGATGGCTTCCCAATGAGTGATTAAACACAAATTAAAAGCTTTTTTGATCTCTCTATGGTGGGCTTAGGAGATACAAAAACGTATGTGACAGGTGCTCAGGTTCAGTCTAACCTACTTAAAAGAAACCCAGCGGGAACTTTGTCCAGAGATTGACTCTTTTGGCGCCCTTATTGTGCTGAACAGTGGGCCGCTGGCTTGTTCGCTGGGGATGGCAGATGGTTCCATTTGTTGTGCACCTCCACTCCACCCCAAACTTTCAGTGGGAGGCTGGCGGGTAACGGGAGGGATGCACCGGGCAGCGGCACCTGGCGCTCCCGCCTCAAAGAACTCCAGCTCCAGCAGGAAGAAAGAGAATGAAGAGAAGCCACCGAAGTAGTCCAGAAGCTCAATATACTATTAAAAGTGTTAAAAGAGAAAACAAACCACAGTATAGGATTTAACAGATGACTGTCCACAATTTCCAGTTCACAGTTTGTTGTAATATTTTCTTCCGCTATAGTGTAAGCCTTCAAGTAAAAAAAAAAAAAATAGTAACACACAGAAAAAAAAAAATACATCACCCAGGAACTAAATTCAAGCTACTTCAAGTGGTTGGATGGCACCAAAATCAGAAAGTCTAGGCAGCGTGGGGAAAATAAGTGCTCCAAATAGGAGAAAATGCTGGAAGTTTAAAGTGTTTGCAAATGCACTGCATGTAGTGCTGCACTCAACAGCACTGACGGTGCCGTAAGGTACAAGAGGAATCACCAGAAGCACAATCCCTTCCTGCACACCCTTGAGGCTTTCACACAAATACTGTCACTGATTAAAGAGCTATTTTTAAGTTTAGAGTGTGGGTTAATCCAGCAATATTTCTTGTTTCTGACTTGGCCAGTTAAAAGGATAATTATTGCTGAAAAAAATACTACTTGCAAGAAGAGATTTAAAGGAGTAAATTTTCAAGTTGACAAACATTTATCACTGGCGTTCCCAGATTTTATTTTCCATATAAACTTTTTATCTGTGCTCTACTCTAACTGCTGGAACTCTCCCCTATCAGAAGTAATTGTGGCCATACAATGCACAAGTCGTACGTTAGCATGTGCTTGACTGAGGCTCATTTTGGCTGCAGGGCTGAACAAAGAGAATTTCTAAAGCCTCTCCTCACTGCCTTGACCTGCTACAAGAGGTTGTCAAAGAGGCCCTTCCCTCTGTGCAAGGGATCACTAAAGGGGGAGGAGAAGGCTGGCTGTTATTTCTCCCTGCCCTGTGGATAACGTGTCACACCAGCACGCAGCAGAAAACAAACTGGACCAGACAACATCATCTCCCTGCAGCTAGAGCCGTCCCCATCCCCTGTCCCCCAGCTTTTGGGAGTGACAGATCCTCAGAAATGAACTGCATTTCAATTCAATTCCCCACCACCCCGACACAGCAACTGACTGACTGTTATCACAGCATCTCCTAAGATGATAAATGTTTACGCTGGCTCAAGTAGACCCGAATGGAAATGTATCTGTTACTGGTTTTATTCTCAGAAATACCAGCCCAGAGTAATTGCTCCAGTCACAGTGTATTTAACCTTGTTACCTCTCAGGAGTGTTACCATTTAGCAGGGCAGCCAGCTCAAGGGAGGTGTCAGTGCCACACTTCTGCTCCGCGGGGCAGCGTTCCCTCCTGGGAGCGGGCACAGCAGGCTGTGCCCTCAATTTCTCACTCACCGACGTTCTATCTCCCTATAGCTATTAAAACTGGAGTAAACCAATAAGCTGTTCACCGTTCCCTAGCAGACAGCAGGTTTTGTAATCAAACCAATGAGGGGACATGAGATCTGTGTGTGAAAGTCGTAACGACACTCCAAGGGCGTCTAACCCCTCTCCCCGAGAGCCCTCTGTCCTACCTAAAACTGCTCCAATTCTCCCAGAATTGGAACAAAGCCTCTAGGAGAGCTGCTCAGGCTTGCACCTGCCTTACACACCCCCCCCGAGCAGGAAAAGGGTGCAGGGGAATCCCAGCGTGAGCTTTCTCTTCCACCAAAGCCCTGCAGCAGCAGTTGAGCCGGGCCTGCTGCTGGGCAAAGCCCAGGTCCAGGAACTGCTCCAGGCCCAGATTTAACAAATGTGAGCACAGAGGTATAATTCTAACAGCCTTTTAGCTACAAAACTGAGGCAGTCTATATTTCTATCCAATTTTGCAGCTGAGATGACTGTATATGCCATTCAGAGTTCACAGAAGGGGGGATGTTTAAAGAATTAGTATTTAATTAGAACCAGGAACAAGTTTGTGCTTTGCAAGTGTCATCATCGACCCTAGTGTGACCACGGTTATCGGGCAAAAAGCGATTGCCATGGAAAAATTCCACACTGTGCCATGCTCAAGAGGCTGGTGGTACCATCTCAGGTAGTAAAACAGAGATCTGAACAAGCTCTCTGTGGCAAGAGTCACCACCTCAGCAGTGAGGGCTTCCCGAAACCCGGCGGCCCCGTCAGACACCAGCAGCACCCAACTCACCAACAGGACGTGCCCGCAAGTCCCCGGGACCATCCACAGCTACCTGGGAATTAATTAGAACTAAACTGATCCGGAACTTGCTAGAAGTGTCCCTTGATCAGGCACAAGAACAATCCCTACAATACCCACGATAAACAGCGCGTTACGACCCAGCATGTTACCTATTTCCCAGCGCAGGGGCAAACACTGCAACCTCATCGTTACTTCTTTGAAGTTCTTCATTTCCAACCCAGCTCCACACAGTAAATTCAGTGGATTTCTGAAGACAGCCTACTCATTCCATTATCTAATTTCCTCTGTAAGTAGATAAATCTGTCAGGGTTGCAATGCAGTGCTGCCCCTTCCACAGCACCGGTGACATTCGACCCTTTATCCCTGTTCCATGCTCAGCCACGTCCTTGTTTAACTACCCCTAGAGATGCTGCTGCACCTGTGCTAAAGCTAAAGGACAAATATCTGTGTTTCCAAATACATAACAGCACTACGTTGCATTTTTATTTTTCTTAGTTTGCTCTGCCTTTATTTACCGGAAAAAATATATCTGCATTTCTAAATTCAAACTTAGATGCTGTCTTGGAGCCTAAAAATGACATTGAAAATACAAATAATTACAAATTTTTAAAAAAATCTAAAATAAACTTTGAAAAAGCCAATTTACCATCATGATGAATTGCAAAATTTTCAGCACTGAAGCCAGTAGATTTTATGCCCAACTAAGAAAAAAATGTTGTCCATGCATGAATTTTTTAAGCAAAATGTTTGTTCTATTTTTAGTGATCCAGAGAAGCCTTTCGGGCATTAAAGACAGCAACACATACCACTGCTGCACCGGGAGACTCCTCGTGTGTGTATTTTCAGAGCACCTGAAGACAGACCCAATTTTCTAAAGAACTCCAGCGTGTGTGTGTTTAAATGCTTGGGAGACACTGTAGTGCATCATTGAAGTATTTTCCAGAAACAGGCTTTGGTGCTTTTCAGCCAGCTAAGCTAAAACACTTTAATCTCTAAAAGGCCTGATGTGAAAGTGATCCTTTTAAAAAATTATTCGGATAAATGAAAGCATTTGGTGAATCTCAATTTGAACTGAAAAAAATCCTGTAGACGACTGCACACCAGCATTACTTGGTGCACTCAGATCAATAAATATTAAGCCTCAGTAGGACCACTATAGAAAAAGCTGCATCATATTTTTAAGATAAGGTTACGTTTCAATTGTCTCAAAATGTCTTTTTTTTTTTTCCTATTCTATCAACACAAAACTAATTGTATTCAATTGTAGGCCAAAATTTCATCTTTACTCAGGATACCTTTTTAAAGCTCAACTGCTTTTAAATAACAGAAACACTTTCTCTGTAAAACAAAATTCTTGCTACCAGACTCTAGTAACATAACAGACAGCTTTCCAAAAGCTTCAAAAACTCAGTCTAGCACATCGAAAAATAAAAAAAATTTAAAAATCACTAATAATTTGGAATTTACTCCATTAATGTGCCTGATCTTCCGTTGTGCCTGTGGAAAGAACACAGGACATGGAAGGGGCAGAAGGCTGTGTGGATGCAGCGCGCCCTCGGCTAGAATGCTACTGCTCAAGCTTCCAGAAAAAGGGCCAGCGGGTCCCCAACGGATGGGGGGCTGAGGAGATGGTGTGTGCTCCTGAAGGAAACACTGCCCTGAGGTACACGCTGGGGAAACCCGTGTCCCAGGGCACGCCCAGCCCATTCGGTGATTGATTTTTACGTTTTCCGAGGGTTTGTCCTCTATCCCCAAAACACACGCTGTAATCACTCAAATTCCCAGCATACTGATAGTGAGCATGTAGATATTTGCCTTGGGACACGGCATACATAAGCATGAGAAAAAAGGATAAGGTAATTGCTTATAATTAACTGCGTATTTTTGCACAAACTGTCATTTCAGAATATGCCTTGATGGACCAGAACTCTTGGCTTCACCTGCCAGTCTCCAGTAAACTAGAGGAACAGTAAAGAGCTGAGTATTGTAGAGATGACAGACACTGGAATTCTCTGTGCAACAAACTGGCAGCGTCTGCTTGTTGAAAAAAGAACCCAGCCCAGCCACGCAGGCTGATGGTAGCGCTCTTACACCTTCTCCAAGGTGAAAAGTTTAAGGGATAACTAGAAAGAGCCACATAAAGCCTTTATTCAAGAGCTACAAGCTAAACGTTGGTTGCATGCAGACTTAAAAGCTCAGAACACATATATTAAAATATAAATAATGATTCAGAAGTAACACAATAATATTGCCAGAGTGACAAGCCAATGTTTAGTTTTTGTCTATAGCTCTTCCCTACTGTTGAATCACTTCATCTCTTACACCACACAGTTCTTCCGAGGCAGCCTCAGCATTTTCTTTTCTCAGGAAAAAACATGCAATTTGGCAGAAAGTGTTCCATCTCCTCTGCACGGTACCTAGTATGTCAAAACCTAACCCGTCCCTTCCACCGATGCTCACCTGCCGTGATGTCATCGTCAACCAGATCGTGCTCTTCTTCCTGAACTTTGGCTTCTGTTCCCAAGGAATCCGGGCTTGCACTACCAGTCTGAATGGCTTCCGTGGTTACTCCAGCTGAAAAGAACAATCAGACACCCACAGGAGTCAGTGATTTTGGTAGAACACATCACATCCTTAGATCAGGAAAAAAAAAAGTAATTATCTATGAACATGGACTCTATGATACAGAGAGAAAGCAAAGAACAACTATTTCCTGGTTTCCCCTCACACCGTATGCAGACTTTTCCCAAACCTATCCTTTAAAAAAAACAAAGAATCTTTTCCCACATTCTAAATATCTTTTCTACATTTTCTTCTTTTTCTGCTGTCTTCTAGCATAATTAAAAATATTAGATACACACATTACAGGCTAACAACTTCTTTAGCCACAAAATACAGAGTTCCAGCAGCACTTCTCTCACATCTCCTCCCAATACTCCATCTCTCTTGCCACAAAAGGTGCCATTTTCCCAGGCGACCTTCAGAATGTATTCATTCAGCTGACTCATTCCACGTCCTTTGGCCTGGGATGCATCTGGTAGTTGCTGTTAGAAACCACACGGTGAGCACCAAATCATGCCACGGCACACCATGTGATTAAAGCTATAATTCACCGGCTTACACTCTGCCCAGTTACAATCTTTAATTACTCCCTGTAGGAGCCCTACCACAATTCACTCAAGGCGTTATCCAAAGAAGTGTTCTGCTACGGGTGAAAAAGCCCAGCCTCGCAAACAGCCTTTGCAAAGAGCTGCAGGGAACCTGAACACAGACTGGGGGGATGCCCTGAGGTTTCTTTCCTCCCAGTACATCCTCTACGTCAGTCTGTACTATCAAAAATCTTATTTTATGAAGAGATTGTTGCTAGACTTCTCCAAGCCTACAAAAGAGGATGGTATCATAATAAATCACAAGGGGGGAACGGATCTGTCAGCTGTGTACAACGAGGTTTGTGGATCCACACCCCAACTCCCTTTAACTCTCTTCATGTTTCTGAACTGGTTTAAAAATGACCCGTTCTCATACGTACTCTGGATTTGATTTTTAAAATTTTCTAAATTTAAAATGCCATGCTCACAGCAAAGCAATTATTCGTACCTTGTGATAACACAGGGAGTTGTCTGACAGCAATTTCTAACCCGATTCGGACACAGCCTCTTTAAAAAGAAACTCCCACCTGTCAATAACTTCCTGAATGTCCTTCCTGTTGTATCAACACGTATAAAAACCGGTGACAACAAATACACCACCAGACCGGCCCACAGTGCTGAGTCAAGCACGCTGGCAGGAGTGCACAGAGATCCCCTGCAATCCGCCCAGGAACCTTACTCGGGCACTCCTCAAGAGAAGGAGCATCATCTCTCCGCAGGGTCTCCACCAGCGTCCACACAGACGCCAGGATTCCAGCACCACCTCGGCAAAATACTCGTCGGCCTTCACCTTCAAGCCCCAACTACTTCCTAAGACATATTTATTTGTGTCCGCCCACTGGAGCTGGCAGAGGGGAGGTCAGTTTTGACGCGCTGCTTTACTCTGCGCAGTGGTTAGTACGAGGAGCTGCCAACCCCCACCGGCGCAGCGCGCGCCTGGCTCTTCCCTAAACATCACTTCGTAGTCTAAAAGTCTTTGATTTCCTCCCACACCCAGAGAAGGGTGAAGAGTTTGCATGCCTTTTGAAAACTGTAGCATGAAGGTGCTGACCGAGGACCTTTCACCTCTGAGGGAATATTTTCTGGGCTTCAGCACCCAAGTTAGCAGAAGCCAAGGGGCTAGCAGGTCCCAGACGGTAGGTTTAGGCTGGGCCAAAACTCAAAGGCTTTGATTTATTTAGTTATTCCCTCACCTCTTACCCTACTTTCTAGCCCCGAGTTGCTGAGCAGAGGCTGATTTTCTCTGTTAGGTGTGCTACACCTTTCTACAGAGCTGACCAAGACTAGTTAATGCAATGGAAGGGAACGGGTGCCTCTGCAGGAGTCAGAGCCAACTGCACAGCATATAAAAAAAAAGTTAGAAGGGTTTATTAAAATTTTATACAATTAAAACAAAAATGTAAGTAAAAACCTATTTAAATCAAAATGATTAGACATTCCCCCAAAAAAAGGTGAATGGATAAAGCCAAAAGGGGAGAAAAATAGTCATCATGCAAACATGTCAAGCAATAAATTATCATTTTCTCTCCATGAAAAACCAGTAAGAAGGAACATGTACTCCTTGACAAGTGTTTTCTACGTAATTCACTAAAATATCATAGAAATATGTTTTAGAAGAGAACAGATCATAAACCTCTGAATGTATTAGAAATAAATCAGCCAACATATTAGAAAATATTGGAAAATTCAGATATACTTGTATTAAGCTGTTATTACAGTTTATTATTTACTGTGGCATCCTATATTCGTTATTTATTTAATACGTTAAAATGTTGCAGCACAAAATTATTTGCCTTACTTCTTTGGGCCCTTTTAAGTCAAACCTTGCACCAGTAAGACGATCAACCACATACATAAACAGCAAAGTCCTTAGGGTCCAGTCAAAGTACCTTTCCTCAAGGAAAGCTTCCCTTCAAATTGATGGAGGTTTAATTAAAGTTTTACTCAATTAATGTGGCTTTAAATAAAACTTTCTAGCAGAAATATCAGTCTACTAGGAATAGATCCATAAAAACTGCCAACAGCATGTTTGCTATTACAGACTTCTGCAGCAAACGCCCCTCGGACCACGCAGCGTTTCAGAGACAACTGTGCGCTGCAGAAACGAGGAGCAGACAAGGCCACAGCAAATATTTACAGTCGCACGACATAATTTTAGTAGGTACAAGAGGAAGCTTTGAAAGGCTTCAGTGTTTTCCTCCCTGTGGGAGCCTGAAAAATACCAACACCTGCACCATCTCTCATCGCTTTAATTCCCAACGTCACTTATACGGCCATTCCATTTGATGTGGGGTCAACAAGCTGACACACCAATTTTGGATTTGAAGGCCCAACTAAACCCGAGATTTATTGTTCCCCCTCGCAGGCGCTGCAGAACGAGGCCTGATGTGCTGAACACCTGAGCTGCAGGCGGCAGGACCTGAGCTGAGCTCAGCTGAGCTGGGGCAGCGCCAGCGGCGCGGGGCCGTTTGAGGGGGGGCGATTAAAAAAATCACCCTAATATACAAAATGGTGCAAGTACCTATCACTCCGAATTAAGGCTCTTTGGCACACATATGCAACATGCTTTCACTTATTATTTGCTGCTTGGCTCCACATCCAACTGCACAACACCATCCCTGTAACGAGGCAAATGCTGCCACGGACCTGACGAATCATGAGACTCTGCTAACAGAGAGCATCGGGGAAAAGGAATTGGATGGAGAAACCCAGGAAGGGGAGCAAACGGTTCCGAGGAGTTGGCAATAGTGCAGATAATCTCGCATTTTAAAAAGGCAAAGCTAAACTAGCTCCGGAGGCCAGTGTGGGCAGCCGGTGGCCAAGAAAGGGCTATGCAGAGCCTGCAAGAAATGACTGTACCTGCGGTTGAGAAGTCAGCAGAGAGGTGAAACGGGAACAGCTCATTCCTGGATGGGCTTCTGGCACAGTCAGGGTGCAGTACACCTCAGCCTAACACCGCAAGAGACCTTTTCTCTGCTACTCTTGCTCTTTGTAAAGCCAGAGTAAGCTTCTAGTGCCCTACAGCCCATTAACCTTTAGTTTTAGATTTCTATGAATTTGATGAGAGAGGAGGAGACGGAGGAAACGCTCTCCCTTTCAGTGTGGAGGGAAGTACTGTACTGTGATGCTCGTCATTACCCACGCCCTGTCACGGACTGCCTCATGAGCCCTGGCTGAACTAGGCCCTCTCCCCCGGCAGCGCTCGGCGTCCACAGGCTGTGACACCCCAGGGGGCAGGAGCAGCATCAACTGTCCCACTGTGTCCCACTGACAGACACACGCTGCCTGACCCCGCACTACCTCCTTTCATACTCTCGGGATGCCAAAGGATCCCTTTGTAACAACTTCTATAATTGAATTATACGTTCTTTGAAGAAGAACGTCAATGTTTCACCACCAGTACCTTGTAATTTTATCAGCCCTTTTCACAGGTTTCCTCTCCGAAACTTCTAAACTACAGCCCAGCCCCTCAACAGCAGGAACAGCCAGAGACACCCCAACCTCGGTGAGGTGGACTGAAGTGTTCAAATTACCCGATCAACATTAGCAGCCTTAAGTGCTTTCATGGGTGTGAGATTACTTTGAAAGTTTCAAGAAACTTTTCCATATAACCCTAGACATTTCCCCTAGAATCTTCCCCCAGACTAGTAGTACCGCTCATAGTTTTCTGTACAAAATACATTTTTTTTTTTTTTTTAAATCTAGCAACCGAGTGGTTTCCAGGTTCAACCCAGCATTACTTACGTGATATAACGCTGTCAATGTACTGTGGTAAATAAGGAGCCCAGGCATCGATAGTTTCTTTCCGACCCGCCTGCTCGATTCTCCTCAGTTCCGCTAGCAGTAGGGCCTGGGCAGCTTCTCTTACCTGTAAAGCCAGCAGGAACGTCACACCAACTCAAATATCAAATATTGAGCAGGATGCTTTCAGCATCATTTAGCATATTACGGAAGACTGAACAATGAAAGCAAAGGAAAATATACATAAAAAGCTTTCCCAAAGTTTAAAAAAAAAACCCCAAACCCTCTGGGATTTTACACCAACAAATACAAAATACTATCTTGCATTTGTCCTCCATTAATACCACCTGTTCCATCAGAAGAATTCATAAACACACCCTCACAAATACATTATTTTTGGTCTAAAAGCTTTAACACACAAGGAAGCGATTTGATCAAGGTAAAATAAAAAACTGTGGACGAATGGAATATAAATACGCTGACACCTAAGGATATCCATTAACTGGACTTCGGTTGCTTACAAATTTTAATGAGTTTCAAAGTAATCACCCTCTCAGGAAACCATCTCGCAGCATATCCTGTATCCCAAAAGAACAGGCAATCAGGTAGCAAAACCCCAAATTCCCAGTTAAGTTACAGGACCGCCGAGGACCTCCAGCCTCCCAGCCAGCTCCGTCCCTCTCCCTGCCCACTGGGAAAGCTGCACAGTCAACAATTTTTTTGCCACAGCAGCACAGGTGTAGCGTTAAGGCCCACTAGTCATTTATCAAACAGCTGGGTGACAAACCATTTACTGGCCTCGGTATACATGCTCCAAAAAAATAAGGCAACTCAGCATTCTCTTGAAAAAGAGAGGGCAGGGTTTTTTTAATCCTAATAAGACTCTTAATGGAATCATGAAAGTTTTTAATCCAATAATTTCTTTTAAAATATGTGTACAGCATCCAGAAGGTAAAAACCCCATATTATATATATATATATATATATATGTTTAGACATGATCCCCCATATATATATTTAGACATGATCAATTTTTCAACATTTTGACAGGTTAACTGGAAAATTAACTTACTGAATCTGAAATAAAAACTGAAGGAACTTGTGTCAGAAAAGAACGATACTTTTTTTTTTTTTTTTTTTTTT